ATTCTTATATTTTTGTATCGATTATAAAAATAATTATAAGTTTATAATGTGATAATCTAAACAATCAGAATGAATGTCAGATTGATAAATTTACTTTATTAATTAATATTTTACGCAACATTAAGGAGGTTCAACATATTTGTCCGGTGGACGTTCTTGACGCGTAATTCGTCTTGCTTCAACGTAATACACAAAAATGCGTTTGAGAGTGCTTTGAGTAATTAACAAACTTTATCAAAGCACCCTTTTTGTTCATTAGTTTAATTACAAGTAGCCTATATTTTTTTTACTCATATTTCAAGTACAAAGACATAGCGATATGGTACCAGTCAAGCTAGTAACACTATAACATTGTAGAAGCATTACGTCTATTTTTCCGTAACGCTATGAAAGCGTAACGTCAAACGTCACCAACATCATGCGTAACGTCATAACATGTGCTATTTATAGAACATGTGTATGACCATATGTGTGCCAGATTTCATTTTGTTTTGAATTGTGGTTTTATAAATATAGAGATAGTTCGCGAACTTTTTGATCTCCTCTCGTATTGTATATTTCACAATTCGTATTCTATATTTTTTATGTATTCTATTTATTTTTATTTCTGTTCCGTATTGTATGTTTCCCATTTGTATATTTCACAATTCGTATTCTATATTTTTTATGTATTCTATTTATTTTTATTTCTGTTCCGTATTGTATGTTTCCCATTTGTATATTTCACAATTGTATTGTAAATTATTTTAGTTGTATTGTATATTTCACAATTTGTATTGGTACAGTTTTTATTTGTGTTGTATTTTTTTTTTATTTGTATTGTAGTATTTTATTTAAATTTTTTATTTCTATTTGTATTCTATAATTTCAAGCTGTATTGTGCTATATTTCGTTATTTATATTTTATGATTTCCATTTGCATTGTATAATGCGGCATTTGCATTCTATAATGTTTCAGTTTGTATTTTAAAATACAACATTATCATTCTATAATGTTTTAATTTTTATTTGGTTGTTTCGTGAGCGTGTTTTTGTAAGAACAATGACTTTAATGATATTACGACTTACTAGTATAGCTTACATGAAATGCTTATGCAAATTAAGCCATTATATTGTCATGCATTTTTTTAAAAAAAGGTTTCTATTTTAAATCCATTCTGAAAATTATATTTAAAAAAAAACAAAACAAACAAAACCATAATTTTGATTCAGCAACGACACGCAGCAGCTTTATTATAAAGTACCTATAACTTACCAAATTTAAGAAGTGCATATATGTAATTGAACGTACATGTATGCCAAGAACCTGGATTAAATGAATCTTAATATACATGATTTTTTATCATGCTCTACGTGTTGTCTCAAACAAGTATTTAAACAATGAACCTTGCTACCTACAATACATAATATAATCCAGCATTTTCGAATGAAAACCTTGTAATTCCGAATAAGTATTTTATAATAACACCAAGCTGAGATTGACTTCTGTTTGATTCGTTCCTTAAAAGAAATTATATTTTCACCAACCCAGTTATATTCAGAAATTAGAACATGATAGCTTCGCAAAGAAAAGGTTTTTAATGCATGTTGAAAAACAAAACCACCATTTATTGTAAAACTTAATTTGATAAGCATTCGACAGACTTCCACCTCGTACGATTGCTATCATTCATTGTCAGCTGTTTTCTCCTCAGCCAATTACTTCTTCATTATAACAATGAGATGCTTATGATATCCCTAAATTGTCGAGAGAAGATGCCAGCAGATAAAAAAAAGTCTGTTGGAAGATTTTTCAAAAACGTATAGGAATATCAGAAGTTGCAAGTGAATCTTTATATTACTAAAAGTTTTATCCTGCTTTATGTTTCGTCGTAAAAAAAGTACTTTGTTGTCTAGACTAAGTGATTTAAACCAGGTATTCAAATAATTCTTTTTAATTCCGCACAGATATTTTATAAGAACACTAAGCTTAAAATGATTTCTGTCTTATTTCGTAATTTCGTACCTCAAACGAAAGAAATCACATTTTCACCAACCCAGTTACATTAAAAAAAATTAGAACATAATAGTTTTACAAAGAAAACGTTTAGCATGTAGAAAAACGAAATCATGACGATGCAAAATGTACCAACATTTTATTGTAAAAAGTTAATTTGTTAAGGATTCGACGGGGTTCGGGCGACATCCACCTCGTACGATTGCCATCATTCATCGTCAGCTGTTTTCTCCTCAGCCAATTACATCTTCATTATAACAATGAGATGCTTACGATATCCCTAAATTGTCGAGTGAAGATGGCAGCAGATAAAAAAAAAAGTCTGTTGGAAGCTTTCCGTAAATCCGATTACTTTTTCTCTCATGTTCAAATCAGAGAGAGAGAGAGAGATTGTGTATGTGTGTGTGAGAGAGAGAGAGAGAGTGAGAGTCGTGTCCCCCAATAATTTTGCCAATTGATATATATTATACAATAAAAATGAAGCTAATTTACAGTTGTAAACTCACCCTCCCCCCAATAATAATGTCTGACTTTTTTTTCTCTTTTTTGTGCCCCTAAATCCGTAATTACTTCCTATTCCTTTAAAAAATTCTTTACCATTTTAAACATCATAGCTTGCCCTCATTAATAAAAAAAATCAGCATGACTTTTGTGTCCTTTGCGTGCATTTATCATCAAAATTGAGTACTAAGGAATACTTGTAGCTTGTTATTTGGATATAAAAAAGTGACACGGATAGACGTAAATAGCAATTTTTATCAAACTGTGCTTGGAGATAATGGACAATGGCGTCAAATTTTAAATCAATGTTAAACAATAGACACGTTTATTATATGAGACCTCTTCTAATATCATCTTATGTTAGTATAATGAGCTTGTCATTGCACGCAAAAAAGTCCTCAAAAACAGTGATTTAATTGGCTGCAAGTTTTTAAAGACTACAATCTTCTAGTTATAGGTTTGATGTTCATTTTAACCAGGTCAATTATTCGCTTGTTTGTAACAGAGGCGTCATGTACATGTGATGTTTGAATTAGATGAGAAGAATAAAAAAAAATTCGTAGACTTTGCTTGCTGAATAACGCGGATTTTTTTTTTCTTTTTGGTTTTTTTTTGGGGGTTTTTGTGTACGTTTATGCAATAAAACACTTTCTTTCTTTGTTTGGATAACGGTTGTGACATTGCAGAAAAAAACTATTATCCAGGTAAGCGGGTTATATACATTTTTTCTGCAATGATTGCAGCCGTTTTTTCCTGCATCAACAACAACAACAACAAAAATTTATTGAGTATATTTATATCTGTATAAAATATTCATATAGAATGGATGAAAGTACGTAAAATATAATAACATTGGCCCGTACGTTACTTTGATGGAAGAGCCTACTTCTAAAGAACTCTTTTTAACAGCTTTTAAAAAAGGGTTCTTACTAGTTAATTAATAGCGTGATTTTATTAGATGTACATATGCTACAAACGTTACATTTTAAAGTGTCATTTTAGACCAACATATATTTTTAAAAACCTTTAAATTTTCATAGCAGCGGATGAATAGATCTATGTACTAAATGAATAGCAAACAGAAAACAAGTTTGTCACCATCACCACCTGCCCTCGGCATAGGAAAGATTAAACGACCCAGTCTAGAGGACAGAGTTCTTTTTAACACAATCCTCTTTTTCTCAGAACAGTAGATACTTCTTTCTATTTTTTGCCAAAAACGTTTATAAACATGAATGGACATAATATACTTTAACTTAAAAAAAAATGGACGTTAATTTTTTCACACCAAGTATAATTTGGTAATTGAAGCTTTTTTGAGACGTTAGTTTGAGTTCAATATATTCACTGTACATATATATTGCACATACAAAAGATTGGATATAGGTTCAGTTCTTCAAGCCTAGTCTAGTAAATCATTTCAATTTTTACAATGATTATCGAAAATATGCATTATATACATACATGTAGGTTTTTAAGGATATGTTCATTAACTTTGCGCATTTAATTTGGATGAAGAAAAGTACTTTGCAATAAATGTATTTGTTCTTCGTCAAAGTTGTGATCTCAGACATCTGAACCTCAGACGTCTTGAAACATTGGATGAAGAAAAGATACATTGCAATAAAATATGAAGATAACAAACAGTATTCAAGCTCAAAGTCCATTAAAACAATACAAATCGGGAGCAGAGCAAACACGGACCTCCAAAAACAGATGTTGGATCAGGTGCCATGGAGGAGCGAGCATCCCCAATAAATTTATTTGTTCTTCGCCAAAGTTTTGATTTCTAAAATTTTAAACATCAGACGTCTTGAAACAAAGTTAATCTATTTTGATTAAAATAGTTTATAAACAACAACGACTTTTCACACACATGTACATTAAAACTTGCTTATAAGGAACTCTGCTATAAAGAAATCTTGATTAAAGACAATCCATATAAAACCATGTCAAAATTGGTAGAAAAATAAACTTGAATGTGATAAGAACAGAATGTTTTCAAGAAATACACCAAAGCAATACAGGTAGAAATGTCTATAATCTCTGAATGTAAAAGACATTGTATCTAAAACTGAACACTGGGAATTTTTCTTACATTGGCGAGATTGATTTATCTCTTACACGATGCATGAAATCTAATTCTGGCCATGTACAGAAAACCCAACAGATCAATTGGAGAGAGAAGTATGCAACTAATACCCTTATTGTTGCATTGTATGGCACTGTTTTTCTATGAATGTATATTGGCAGGCATTCCCTTTGGCCCTATACTGACAAGCCTATCTATTCTCTTCTCTTTGCTTGACAGCGAGGAATCTTATTCTTTATGACACTCTTCCTATGATTAACCATGTAATCACATTAACCTCGCTACTTGTATTCATAGAAAAAGAAATCTGTACCACCCTTAAGGCTTTGACAAGATCAAACTGTCCACTTTGAAATATTGGATTTGGGCAAAATTTTTACCGTGATCTATTTCTTTTCAATTTATTTTTAGGATCTCAAGAATCAAGTGTTGACTACCAATGCATGGCTGAGAATTGTACGTATTGTAAATATTAAATGTATTTTTCGAATTGCATTTTCCCCATGGCGTTATATATTAAAGACACTCCTGTATTGCTTTCTGGTAATCAGCTGAACACTTCAAAGTATTCCAAATTAAATCTGGAGTCGAGTGCAATAATTAATCAGTACCTTCGGATGAAAATCGTAGAATCTGAATATTATGAACAGGGAAATATCTACACAGGCTTACAAAATACGCCTGCATACAATTTTATAACTGTAATTAAAACATCCCTCTTTCAGGCGTGGACAGACGAATTCCTAACCTGGAATGCCACTGATTTCAACAATGTCACCGAAATTCTAGTGTCCAGAGGAGAGGTCTGGACACCTGATCTTCTTGTGGAAAACACGTAAGTCTGAAACTGTGTGCATTCCAAAGAAGTCAGGAAAACCTTTTTAATTAATATTATGTCTCCTTACAATAGTCAATCTCTAAAAATGATTATAGCATTGCTGGTAGTCATTTTCATATAATGTTGTGCATTTTATCATTAGGTCCCAGAATTGTAATTTATAATTGGTTTATTGTATCACTGGTGAAAAAGATATCGTCAGTAGATACGATTGTGTCCTAATAAGAAAAAATCACATTCAGCTTTTATAACGAGAGTATCCACACAATCTTCGAAAATTTTAAAAGGGCCCCAAGCCCAAAAATAGTAACTACGATAACTTTTTAGCAACTACAAAAAACACATATACATGTACTCAATGATGAAAATCACAACAAAGATGTCCCTTTTACACGTAGCTAATTTAAAATTTTATTTCAATATACCAAGTATCTTCCATCTCATCAAATATGATCAGAGTAATTTGGGGATATTGCTTGCAAAGATTCCTAATTACTCTTTTCATTATGCATCAATCAAGCTCCAATAAATAAACATAAGACAACACATTTATTGACTTCTATATGCTAGCATCGTCTCAGGAACTAGGTCGTATCGGATTGATGTTATACGATGGATCAGTTTGATGTATAAAACTATTCTATCTTTTCAATATCAGTTATCATTATCTTAATATTTTGGACAATATGCTGTATTGTGACTTACGATCTAATTTTCTCATGACGTGAATACTCTGTAAAACAATATCTTTCGTCATGTCTGTAGATTCTGGCATTATCTTTGTCATTTTACAAATCCCTTTGTCCAATATTTTTTTTCTATTTTCTCTTATGAAGATAAGCATTCCTGTCATTTGATATCAGCACCTCTTTTTCTTTCTCAATATGAAGTATAAAAAGGACAATTATAGAATACTTATTTATATGAAATCTTTCAATCTCAGCGCGAGAGTGATCAACAGAGAGATATATTCCATTAAAGTTGTACGATGAGATTCAAGCAAGGATGAAGGATCAAGAGCATTGTTTACGTCAAACATGTTACCAATCGTGAACCGAGGCGTTCTAATGGCGGCAATCAGGCACAATTGTATTAGGTTTCTTCTTATGCTTGAATTAAGATTCCTGATATTGTATCTTACAACTCGTTACTCCTCCTCTAATATACACTTGTTTGCAGTAATCTGAACTCCAACATATTGTCAATCTCAAGAATAAAGGAATCAACACTTTATAATTAAGAAAAAGCTGACATTTCCTTAGAAACAACATGTGTATTCCATGCACCAAAAGTGAACGGTGTTCTGATTATTCAAAAATACATACAATGAATTTACTTTTCCTAGAGTCAAACAAACAAGCACAAAATTTAATGTAAATCATAAATTTTACCTTCAGTTATGTGGCATGTCAGGACATCCACTCTATAAGTCTAGAAAGCTCAAAAATGCATTATACTGTTCAGTACTATGAGAACATGTTCAAAAAAATTCTCTTCTTTCACATCTGTCTTCTTTATATTACCTCTCTCTATCTTATTTTTAATCAGTTCTGGTGTGCTTTGTTCTACATGAATTAATGTATATATAACCGCTGCTCTTACTTTATCTTCGTTTAGTCGGTTCTCTTGTACTATGTTCTACATGGATATACCGGTGTATAACATATCTTTTCTTTCCTTATAAGGTATCCGCTGTTAACCAGAGCTTCGGGTACACACATTATGTTCATGTCATTCTCTGTTGATTTTCACAGTTCACTTTCTAAGGATGACATTCTTCAAAATTGCATTTCAGTTTTTTTTTTAAAAATATTTATATATTCCAGTCAACGAAGGTGAATTCAATGTACCCTTCCTATACTGGATTCCAAAACTTCATAAAAATCCTTACAAACAAAAACACATTGCTGGGTCCAGTAAGTGCTCTACGAAGCCCCTACCTTTACTCCTCACAAAAATATTAATTGCTGTAAAAAAAGAAACTGCAGCCGTACTGTGGTACAGAACTATAGAAGTGGTGTAAATGAGATGTGGATTCTCAAAAACTACAAATAAATTTTATAATACTAAGTCTTAAAATCACCAAATTTTTCATAAGTCAGTAACATCATAACATACGACTTTTCTACACTTTATACAACCCTTACTCAATAAATTAATGGAGTTCCTCATTGACAACTTCTATGAAGTCCGTGGAGACCAGGGGCCTATTTTACAAAATAACTTACAATTAAGACCAGAACTTTAGTTGATTGTAAAATCTTGCTCAATAAATGATTCTGTTTAAATTTGCATGCATAAATATATTTTCTCTAAATCTTTGGTAAAAAAGATTAAAACTATTTTCAAATTGATGTAAAAAAATGAGATTATTCCCAAAATTACGGTTTGGTTTTAGTCCCAAGTTTTCTAGCAAAACAGGGCCCTGGTCTTCCAACAAACTGTTGGAATTCGATGAGCTAACTGTGCTCCTTTATTAGCCAAACTGTTTTTTAAATTCCCATGAAGTACAATTTATTCACTAACGTCTACATCAGAAGAAATACACTCGTTTTCGCCTTCAACTCGACATTCAAAGATACATCCATTCATATGTCGACTCGATATACCTCCGTGAACTCGAAGTATAAGACACCAAAGAGTCTATCACATCTGTTTTGTGTTTGGATATTTTATTGTTAATGGACGATAAAGGCCAACTAACAACTAAACTGTATGACAAACGAAATGACTTCAGCTCTTCCATCGCCATCTTTCCTTATTTATATAGTAATATTAAGCTATCACCTGCATGCGGTGTTTATGTCTCTTAACTTATTCGGTACTCGAGAGCATGCTCTGAGTACGATCAATTTTTAAACCGAGGCAGGCTACTGACAGATAAGTTGCTGTTAAAGGGATTCCAAGAACCTCGTTTATAGACAGCATTTCGTAAATCCAATGGTTGTTGTAATGACCTTGTTAGCAAATATAACATGTCATTGGGTCGCATTCTAAATTACATATTTCATGTCAATTGTTAGGCCTTTGTTTTCATACTAAATTTGACGACTGAATATTCCGTCTACCTGAGCAATACATAAGATTCACAGCGGGAGTGACCAGTCGACAGAGGATGCTTATTTCTCCTGCATGGGCACCTGCTCTGATCATAGATTTGCATTGTATGCTTATACTGCTTAAATTTTCCTTTTTATTTCCTTTCAGGGCTTTCGGTTACAGAGAACTAGGGATAGAAAAGATGTTGCTAAATTTGGACAATAAAGGTCAGATTATATGGGAGCCAGGACTGATCACTCAGACAATCTGTGAAGTGAACATAGCAAAGTATCCTTTTGACAGTCAGCATTGTTCTATCCGTGTCATGTCCTGGATGCACACCAATCGCTCATTGCAAGTATCAGTGGCGAGAGACTTCATCGACACAACAAATTACTATCCTAATGGTGAATGGGATTTGGTACATACACGGGTAAAAGCATTTTCTCCAGAAGATGGGAGTTACAACGTCGGTGAAATTCTCCCAGGAGCTGAGGCCATCATCGAATTAAGAAGACGCCCTGTATACTATATAATCTCTACTATTCTGCCCATTTCCATGTTGTCTTTGCTGAACGTTTTGGTTTTCATGCTTCCGACTAATACAGGGGAGAAAATGACCTTAGCGGTCACGGTGTTGTTATCATTTACCGTCTTCATGAGCGTGGTCAACGAGGTGATGCCCAAAACCTCCAACAGCGTCTCAATACTAGGTACAACAATTTCATTTTTAAAAAAGATTATTTTCGAGTGGATGAGGACCGTTATACAGGTCTAAAAGAAGTCTATCTTTAAGTTTTAAAAGTCTTGTTTTCTCTTTGTAGCTGTGTATCTAACCATTCTTTTGACTATGAGTGGACTCTCCGTGGCATCAACAGTACTTGTCCTTCACTTTCACCACCATGCTGATATGAACTCGTCTCCAAATCGCATGCGCAATTCTCGAGTCTATGACGTACAGAGAGCAAATAGCATCAACAACAACAGATGTCGTAAAAGTTCCAGCATGAGAAAAGGTAATACAAGGCCTTCTTCAGAGAAGCTGTTAGAAGATTATATGGAAGTGGACGATTCAGGTGATCAATCCAGCACAGAAGTGAACGTCTGCTGTCGAAAGCTCCGACTCAAGCTAGAAAGCTGGAGAAGACGACGAAAACGTCGAACTCTAGGACGGCAGTTTGCTGAAAAATTGGATAGAGCGTTATTTTGTACCGTTACCGTGCTTACAATAGCATCCACAGTTGTTGTGATGGTTTTATTAATTTACTGGTAACTGTGACTTACACATGTTCATGTCATTTATATGTCATTTGATTGGAATTTTCAGTGGGACTGATATTTTATATTTTTGTCATAAATCAAAACATTAACCGTTTATCATATGGATATTAAGTATATATTGTAATATTTACATTTGCAATGTTTTCTCAGTATTAAACATTCAAGCAAAATTCGGGGTTACACTTCCATAACTTCAATGCATATCTTTGAGTGTTTAGCTCACCTGAGCTGAAAGCTCAAGTGAACTTTTCTGATCATTTGTTGTCCGTCGTCGGTCCGTCTGTCCATCCGTCTGTAAACTTTTCACATTTTCAATTTCACCTCAAAAACCACTAGGCCGATTTTATCAAAAGTTGGTACAAAGCATCCTTCAGTAAAGGGAAGTTTAAATTGTTAAAATAAAGGGCCAAGCCCCTTCCATGGGGAGATATTCAAGAAAAGATAAAAATAGGGTGGGTAATTAAAAAATCTTCTTTTCAAGAACCACTGGGCTAGAAAAGCTGAAACTGATGTGGAAGCTTTCTGAGGTAGCGTAGATTTTACATTGAAATATAATGAAAAAAATCTATAAAGATCTTCTCAAGAACCACTGGGCCAGAAAAGCTGAAACTTATCTGGAAGCTTTCAAGGGTAGAGTAAATTCTAAATTGTTCAAATCATGACTCCCGGGGGTAGGGTAGGACCACAAAAGGGAATCAAAGTTTAACATTGAAATATATAGGACAAATCTGTAAAAATCTCCTTCTCAAGAACCACTGGGCTAGAAAAGCTAAAACTAATATGGAACCCTCCTGAGGTAGCGTTGATTTTAAATTGTTCAAATCATGGCCCCCTGGGTAGGGTGGGGCCAAAATAGGGAATCAAAGTTTTACATTGAAATATAATGGAAAAATCTTTAAAAATCTTCCTTTAAAAATCTTCTCAAGAACCACTGGGTCAGAAAAGCTGAAACTTATGTGGGAGCTTTCAGAGGTAGCATAGATTCTAAATTGTTCAAATCATGTCCCCCGGGGGAAAGGTAAGACTACAATAGGAAATTACTGAAATATTATGGAAAAATCTTTTAAAATCTTCTTCTCAAGATTCACTGGGTCAGAAAAAGCTGAAACTTATATGGACGCTTCCAGAGATAGTGTAGATTCAATTTTGTTCAAGTCAAACCCCCCGGGGGTAGGGTGGGGCCACAATAGGGAATCAAAGTTTTACATTCAGAAAAGCTGAAACTTATATGGAAGCTTTCAGAGGTAGTGTAAATTCTAAATTGTTCAAATCATGACCCCCATGGGTAGGGTGGAGCCACAATAAGTATTACAAGGAGGGAAATCTGGTTAAGAACAACAGGCCCAAAGTTAATCAGGTGAGCGCTGTGGCCCATGGGCCTCTTGTTCCTATCCTAATTTATTTTTATTACTTTAAAATCGTGGATGTTTTATCAATCAGGAAGAAAGAATAAGTCAGAGATGGAGAAGACAATTATAACAAAGTGATTTATGATAACGTAAATCATTTGGACATCTATTACTCTGTGTGTAATTTTGTAAGAAAAAAATGTATGGTTTGAAAATGGTTGTGGAAAGGTTTTCACAATTTTAACTATAATCTGTTTCTTAACAGACCGTTCAATGTCCGATTCAAAGTCTCTTCCTCTCTAAAAATGTCTTTGTCATGTATATACAAATACACAGCTCTATTTGATATATTTATTTCATTTTAGCATCTGAAGTTATCTTTGAATGGGCACTAATTGTGTTCCATTTTCAGCTGACCCGTTTTTATATTCCTCCGAAGCAGAATTTATTCATAATCTTCATAATAATAAGTAGATAAACTATCTGTGACCTTCAACTTGACAAGAAACTGTTGGAATTACGATGGGCATTAATTGTGCTCCATTATTAGTTGACCTGACTTTATATTTCTATGAAGCAGAATTTATTCACAGACTTCTACGTGAGAAGAGGAAAACACTTGCTGTGGTCTTCAATTCGACATTCAGATATATCGGCGATGTTTTATCAATTAACAATAGTTTTTTCAATCATATGTCGACTCGATATATCCCAATGAACTTGAAATAAAAGACATCACAGAGTCTGCCACATCTGTTTCATATTTGGAAGTTTTACTAACTATAGACGATAAAGGCCAATAAACAACTACATATTGTAAAATGTATTAAAAACGAGATGACTTCATGCAGCTTTTCCATCGTCAACTTTCCTTATTTATGTAGTAATATTCAACTGCTTATAGTGTATATGTCTCCCAACTTATTCGCTACCCAAGAGGTTGCTCTGAAAACGAACAATTTTAAAGCAAGACATGCTACTCACTGATAAGTTGATGTTACAGATATTTCAACAACCTCGTTTTGAAGTCTGCATTTCTTTAATTTTATGGTCGTTATGACCTTGTTAGCAAATATAACCTATTATTGGGATGTATTTTGGCTGACTTGTTTCATACCATTTGTTAGGGCTCTGTTTTATACTGAATTCGACTACGGAATGTTCCATCTACCTGATCAAAAAATAGGGATCACGACGGGTGTGACCGGTCAACAGGGGATGCTTTCTCCTCCTAGGCACATGATCCCACCTCTGGAATTTCCAGGGGTCCCTGTTTTATGCCCCATTTACATTTTTGTATGCTTATAGATTTTTTTGAGATCAATCACTGTTCGTAATCTTCATCTTTTATATTATGACAAATGTCTACGAATTTTTTTATTGGTTCTCGTACTTCAATTATCGTTAGAAAATTACTCAATTTTGACCCTGCTCCGTGAACCCATTATTACTGTCTTAAATGTTTGATAATTTGATTAATATCAAGGTATATTCAGTTTATCAAACTCACGTTCTTTTAATTTATTTTTAAAATATGCGAATCAAATTTGGTTTTAATATGACGTTTAATAAAACAGAAAAACAATAAAACATAAAACTGACAAAATCTACGAATTTTTAATGGCCCTCGTACTTCAATTTTTCATGCATTTAAGAGATTATCAAAGAGTTCTGAGAATAGGTCTTAAGTATTGATAACGTACAAGATACATTCATCTTTTTTTATTTTCTCAATTTTAGCTCACCTCGACAAATTCCATATAAGCTTACGCTATGTCCCCGGCGTCTGCATTTAAGGAGCAAGTCCACTACTAAGTTTGTATAAACCTTTTCTTGACCAAACTTGCGTTGATGATGCATCATAGGGATGCAAGCTACCAAATATGCTATGAATGCTGGATTTGACCTATATTTTCTGGATGAGGTACCAGGATAACGTTATTTGGAGCAGTCCATTCTTAAATGCCCAAACACTGATCATTTCGACATTCAGATATATCGACGACGTTTTATCAATTAACAATAGTTATTTCCATTTAAATGTGGATTCGATATATCCCAATGAACTCGAAATAAAAAGACACCACAGATTCTGCCACATCTATTACATATTTTGATATTCTCCTTACTATAGACGACAAAGGCCAACTAACAACTAAATTGTATGACAACGAGATGACTTCAGCTTTTCAAAGTTAAATCGTCAACTCTCCTTATTTATGTAGTAATATTCACTAGTACCTGCATCTGGTATTTATGTCTTCCAGTTTATTCGCTACTCAAGAGCATGAGGCAGGCTACTGACATATAATTTGATGTTACAGGGATTTCAACAATATCATTTAAAGTCAGCATTTTGTAAATTTTATGGTCGTTATAATGACCTTGTTAGCAAATAAAAAATATCACTGGATCGTATTTTGGCTGACTTGTTTCATACCAATTGTTAGGCCTTAAATGTTTTTATATTGATTTTAACTACGGAATGTTCCATCTACCGGAACAATACAAAGGGCTTACGGCGGTGCGATCGGTCAAAAGGTGATGCTTACTCCTCCATGACATCTCACCTCTGGAATTTCCGGAGATCCGTGTTTTATGCCCTGTTCACAGATTTGTATTGTTTGTAGTTTTTATGAGATCGATCACTGTTCATTATCTTCACCTTTTTCACTGTAGCACTCTTATGTGGGGATCCTTTTTTTTAAATACATATTTTGAAATCTTTTAGGGGAGTAAACCTCTCTCTCTCTTTCTCTCTCTCTCTCAATTTGCTTATAGTTCCGGGTAAAGTGCAATGTCTCCATTACAACATGAGCGGAAGCATTATATTGGAATTTTCTCTTTACCAGTAGAATGATACTTATAATAGGATGATACTTATATGTATAGGATGATACTTATATGTATAAGATGATACTTATATGTATAGGATGATACTTATATGTATAAGATGATACTTATATGTATAAGATGATACTTATATGCTGATACGTGTTATTACTGGTAACAGTATCGTCTTTGTTTATAAGGCTCATTATTACAATTGTATTTTGGAAGAACTTGGTTTTAACTCTACGTCTGGAAATCCTACATATACCCACAGTTCACTTTCCAAAGAAGAAATTCTTCAACATCATATTTTTAATATACCAGTCAACCCAGGTGAGTTCGATCTACCCTACCTGTATTTGATTCCTAAACTTCATAAAAATCCTTACAAACAAAGATACATTGCTGTATCCAGCAAATGCTCTACCAATCCCTTATCTTTACTTACTTACTTACTTATCCTCTCCGTGCCCCGGAGGACGCATGGGGCCGTTATCTTATCTTTACTCCTTACAAAAATATTAACTGCTGTAAAGGAGAAACGTATTGTGCTACAGCTTATTCTAGAAGTGGTGTAAATCGGAGTGGATCCTCAAAAACTCGAAAACTTGAAAGAACTTTTAGAAACTTTAATATCACCAAATTTTTCAGAAGTTCACAACATCAAAACTTACGACTTTTCTACACTTCATACAACAATTCCTCATGATAAATTAAAATCTAGACTATTTAATATCATAGGGAACTGCTTCTTAAATAAAAAATCGGAAATTTTCACATCTTGTGATCGGTCATCAGCAAAATTATTCGTTAAAAACCCCTCTGATTGTACACACAAGTACTGTGAAGTTGATATTAAAGTTGATATTAAAGGGATGCTGGAATTCCTAATTGACAACGTTTATGTAGTCCTCGGAGACCAAGTTTTCCAACAAATTGTTGGAATACTAATGGGCACTAATTGTGCTCCTTTATTAGCTGACCTATTTTATATTCTTATGAAGCAGAATTTATTCAAAAACTTCTACACGAGAAGAGGAAAACACTGGCCTTCAGTTCAACATTCAGATATATCAGCGATGTTTTATCAATTAACAATAGTTATTTTCATTCGTTTGTCGACTCGAGATATCCCGGTGAACTTGACACCACAGAGTCTGCCACATCTGTTTCAAATTTTGATGTTTTACTGACTATAGGCGATGAAGGCCAATTAACAACTAAATTGTATGACAAACGAGATGACATTAGCTTTTCCATCGTCAACTTTCCTTATTTATGTAGTAATATTCCACTATCACCTGCTTATGGTGTTTTATTCGCTACTCAAGAGCTTGTTCTGGGTATGATCAATTTTTTTAAAGTGAGGCAGGCTACTCACTGATAAGTTGATGTAACAAGGATTTCAAGTCCCTCGTTTAAAGTCAGCATTTCGTAAATTTTATGGTCGTTATACAGACCTTCTAAGCACATATATCCTATCAATGGATCGTATTTTGGCTGACTTGTTTCAAACCAAATATTAGGCCTTTGTTTTTGTGCTGAATCGACTACCTGATCAATAAATAGGGCTCACGGCGGGTGTGACCGATCAACAGGGGATGCTTACTCCTCCTGGGCACCTGATCCCACCTCTGGAATTTCCAGGTGTCCGTGTTTTATACCCTCTTCACATATTTGTATTGTTTATAGATTTTTTGAGATCGTCACTGTTCGTTATCTTCACCTTTTACATTTATGCCGTTACTTTGTCTCTAAGTGCGGAAACATCTTAAATTTATGAGGAAGCATTGTCAATACATACAAATATTTCATCATATGCTGATACTATACTTCATTATATGCTGATACTTTGTCTTCATTTGCTGATATAATTCATTGTAAGGTGATGCTTTGTTTATTTTATGCTGATAATTCTTTATAATGTGATGATATTTCGGTATGATATGCTGTTAGTCTTAATATGGTGATATTATTAATTATATGGTGATATATTGACATTATATTGGTATTTGACATTATATGACAATGCTTAATATGCTGATATTATTAATTATATGGTGATATATTGACATTATATTGGTATTTGACATTATATGACAATGCTTAATATGCTGATATTATTAATTATGTGGTGATATATTGACATTATATTGGTATTTGACATTATATGACAATGCTTATTTTCAAAATTAATTTTATAATGTAATGATTATTTGTCACTTTCTGTTAAAAATTATCATATATTTTTGCATAACATTTAAAAGTTCCAGAAAGTAAGACATGGGCCATTTTAACATTATTCAAAAATATGTTGCATGCATACTGACGAATATTTTTGAAACGAAGAAATAATATATAATGAAGAGTAAGAGCATATATAATGAAAAGGTTAGGTTTATCATGTCGAAGTTTTGGTTTGTAATGTCAAAGTATCGGCTTGTAATGTCAAAGTATCGACTTGTAATGTCAAAGTATTGGTTTGCAATGTCAAAGTTTCGGCTTGTGATGTCAAAGTAGCGGCTTGTAATAACAACGTATCGCCTTGAAATGTCAAAGTATCGCCTTGTAATGTCAAAGTATCGCCTTGTAATGTCAAAGTATCGCCTTGTAATGTCAAAGCATCGCCTTGTAATGTCAAAGTTTCGCCTTGTAATGTCAAAGCATCGCCTTGTAATGTCAAAATATTTTAAAAATTATGGGATTTTTTTACTACCTTTCCTTCAATTTTGTTGCATATGCTTTAATTGGCCTGTTGGTGCACTCATTGACTGGAGTGTGATCAAATTTGAATTCACTCCTACAGAAAAGTCACATTTTGTACATAATTAGAAATTTTACCTGTTCTGAATTATTATTAAATGACAGAAGACTTTTTTCTGCTCAGTATTTGAGGAAGTGAAAGTAAGATGGTGACCAAATTAAATAAACTGCCACAATAAAGCTTTACTCGGTAAGACAGACAAAGGCCAAAGAAAATAATGGAATTATTTTTTATTACTGGATTCGAATTCAAAACTGGTTTGGTCCATTTTTTAAATTCCTTCCTGATTCATAAAATAAGGAACTTACAAATGTAAATAAAATTCAATCAATTTTAATATAGGTGGGCGAACAAGGAAAGCAAAATGCCTATGGTGCGACAAAAATTTAATATGAAGGTGAAAACTTAAATCTCATTAATAACAAATTTTCTTCGAAATTTCATCTAAGATTTAAGTAAACTTTATGTAAAATCTTCACAATTTTCAAAAAATCTCACAAAGATTGATATTATTTGTCTATGAAATAGCAAACACACCCTAAAGATGGCAACAAAGATCATTGTCTCATATCATAACACAATTTTTCCATATGAGAGGGTCTTCGCTCCATTTTTGTGAAAGTTTGTCCTCAAAGTATGCGTAAGACTATGATATTTCGATTAACAAAAGCAAGGAGCAATGACCCACTATACCTTAAGGTTAAAAACACACTTTTATAACACAGCATTCGTGCATTTCCGAAAAATTCTTAAGTTCAAGGGTCTTATAACAAACATGATTTTAAATGCCACCATTTATCAGGAGCTGTGTAGCATAGTGGTTATAGCGTGTCAGTTTCAGAGAAAATTCTGATACTGGGAATTTCTATTGCAAGAGTTCGAACTCCAAGAATATCACATTATTTTTTTTTTAATATTAAATAGAATAATTTTTGACGAAAAAATTTTCAACAGAAAATTTTGTTTTTTATCAAAATTTCACAAATTTCAATAATAAGAACTCTAAATACTTAATTTACAAATTGAATATGATTTTTATATATATATATATGAAGCTATAGGCATTCTGCACGGCTTGATCGCCCATCTTCTTTGATAATAAATCAATTAAATTTTAATTCAAAAATCTAGTTTGGTTCTGTCTTTCTAACATATATATAATTATATATATATATATATATATATATATATATATATATATATATATATATATATATATATATATATATATATATATATATATATATATATATATATATATATATATATATATATATATATATATGTTTGTGTGTGTGTGTGTGTGAGGGTGTGTGTGTGTGTGTACCAAATTTTACTGCAGTCAGAATTCAACATTACAAACTCAGGTTTTAAACGTATGAATCCAAACTCATATTTAGTTACCAGGCCCGTAGGAAGCAATTTCAGTTGGGGGGGGGGGGGGGCACAGCCATACATTTTTCAGTTGACAGTTGAGGGGGCACTACCAAAAATTTCCTGACAAGCGACTTCTGACAGGCCTAATAAAGAACAGAGGAGGGGGATCAAGTCCCCCCATAATTTTATCGATATATTCTATACAATGGAAACCAATGCTCGTTTTCTGATTTAGCCCTCATTAATACTGAATGTATAATGATATGACTTTTAAAAAAATAATTATTGTTAAAGAACACCTCTCTCTCTCTTTCACACACACACACACACACACATTGGATTATAACTAAAATTTCCTTTAAAAATTCTCGACCACAATGAGAATCAACATTTAACTAGTACGAAATGTTCTCGAACGAGCTATTAAGTATCATATTACCGGATGTAAACAGTCCAATCCATCTGATCTATTTGTAACTATTTAGTTATTAAACCATTAATTAATAACTTGCTTTGACATTGCATTACATGAAATTTGGTAAATGGCGCATTTGCGACTGGAATTAATAACATTTTTCTTAGTAGTGAATGTGGTATTTGCAGTACCCCCAAAATGTGAGTACAGATTAGTTAGAATACACTTAGCTGCAATAATGTAGCCCTCTCCGATTTTTTTTTAATCTGATATTTTTAGGAGAGGGCTCCAATTCCACTGCATCTTCGTAATGGTGCAAATATATTTTTTAGATACGGGCGACTGCAGGCAAAATAAATTATCTTTGCATTCAACTTACTTCCAACAAGACGGAATTTTTATTCACTATCAACATCATAGCCCTTTATACGCGAAAACCAAGTAAAATAAATCTGCGTGTTTACCAGTCGTTCTCTTCAGCAGTCATGACTATGAGGCGCCGTTTTGGTATTTACTGCCAAAAAGTGATATCACCTATTCGAATAAGTGATATCACCTATTCGAATAGGTGATATCACCTATTCGAATAGGTGATATCACTCATTCAAATTGAATAGGTGATATCACCTATTCGAATAGGTGATATCACCTATTCGAATAGGTGATATCACTTATTCGAATAGGTGATATCACTTATTCGAATAGGTGATATCACCTATTTGAAATGAATAGGTGATATCACCTATTCGAATAGGTGATATCACCTATTCGTGCTGAATAGGTGATATCACTTATTCGAATAAGTGATATCACCTATTCGAATAAGTGATATCACCTATTCAATTTGAATGAGTGATATCACCTATTCGAATAGGTGATATCACCTATTCGCATTTCTTACAACAACAAATAATGAATGCTCCCTTCCTCAAGATTATCTAGATTTTCATTGGAACCAAGCAAATTCGGGCTGCGTTAGGGTCTGTAATCTCGTCACGTGACTCGCGAGATTTTTCGATAATATTAACCTCCAGGTACCTCACACATGGAGATGTGTATTGGGTTATGCATGTTTATGGTTTACACAAAGCGTATAAGGAAAGTTTAAGCAGTTGTACAAAGCCGAAGGGTCCTCCGACTTACGATGGATAAATTGAGGGTCGTAAAAGCTTGGGTGCGAGCAAGTAGGAGGAGAATTTCGATGGAAGTACAGGTAAACAAGTCAGAGAATGTCACCTGCTTCTTGGCTCTTGGGTGAAATAGAAGTCTTATATTATACATTTGTATCTGATTAGAATAGTTTTGTTATCATCATTCCAACTAATTTATTAACAGATTTTTCTTGAATTCGAGGATAATGATGTTATTACCAGCTGATTAAGGAGGAGTAGTGTAAGTGTCAGATGGGTACGAACGTCATCTTGTGACAGCATCACCTTTGTTTGGGTAAATAATTTGTTCAGAATACGCTTCATTTATCAACAAAAATTTAGCTGTTGCATGTCAGTAGGTCTAGTTTTTTAAGTATTCAATGTTTGAAAGCACTTATCAGGTCCAGTACAATCTTTTGATTTAGCTATATATATAGCTTTATTAAGCTGTTCAGAATAGCTTAATTTAGCTATTTTATCACACTTTTTATGCCCCCGGATCAAAAGATCCCGGGGGTATATTGTTTTTGTCCTGTCTGTCTGTTTGTCTGTTTGTCTGTTTGTTTGTCTGTTTGTCTGTCTGTCTGTTGTCAACTTTAACCTTGCCCATAACTTTTGATTGGTTGGAGCTATGACTTTCATATTTCACATGTGTATTCCTTGTGACAAGACCTTTCTTTGGGTACCATCATATTTGACCTTTTGACCTTGACCTTGGAGTTTGACCCACTTTTGCAAAATTTTATGACACTTTAACCTTGGCCGTCACTTCTGAACAATTGGAGCTTGGGGTTTCAAACTTCACATGTGTATTCCTTGTGACAAGACCTTCCTTTGAATACCAATGACTTTGACCTTTTGACCTTGACCTTGGACTTTGACCTACATTTGAAAAACTTTAACCTTGGCCATAACTTTTGAACAGTTGGTGCTTAGGGTTTCAAACTTCACATGTGTATTCCTTGTGACAAGACCTTCCTCTGGATATCAACCACTTTGACCCTTTTGACCTTGACCTAGGAGTTTGACCTACTTTTGAAAAACTTTAACCTTGGCCATAACTTTTGAATGGTTGGTGCTAGGGCTTTCATACTTCACATATGTAATCCTTGTGACGAGATCTTCCTTTGGATACCAACCACTTTGACCTTGACATTTGACTTTTATTTAAAACACTTTAACCTTCACCATAACTTTTGAACAGTTGTATCTAGGTCTTTCAAATTTCACAGGTGTTTTCCTCGAGACAAGATCTTTCTTTGGGTATCAACATTTTTTATCTTTTGGCCTGGATTTTGACTTGCATTTGAGAAACTTTAACCTTCGACATAAGCTACCATACGGGGGCATAGTGTTTCACAAACACATCTTGTTCTTAAATGTATACTTTTCTCAGCATGCACAAAAAGTCGGACCTTGGTGCAGTGATGATACTCAACCTTGAACTCATCTGAAATTAATGCATTTAAAACTCACTCATTAAAATCTCCTTGCATACATGTGATAATTTTTAGGCCCAAATACTGTACAGCAGTCCTCAAAATACAGGAATTTGGGTGAAAATACTGTACATTGTTCATCAAAAAACTATACAAAACACTGTAAAAAATATCAATTGACCAAAAATCAATGTAAAAGGTTCATTTTTTAAGCTCTTCTGAGCCAAAGGCCCAAAGAGCTAATGCTATGGCCATTTGTGCGGTGTGCGTAAACTTTTTAGAATATGGGCCATAACTCAAGAACCCTTTGGCCAATTATTGTCAAATTTGTCACAGGGTATCCTTGGGCCAAGGGCTTCCGTTTATACTAAAACTAGGGTTGTGACCCTTAAACAAGGGGAGATAATTAGGAAAATAGAAACAAAAGAGACTTTGTACTCAAAGTTCTAAAAGTTTTTGGGCTACATATGCAATTGATACAGTTACTTCTTCAATGAATTTATAAAGGAGGCCAATTATGGTCAACAAGATAATTGATTAATTCAGTACATTCAATGAGAAGCAATCATACTTATCCATGCCTCAATGCACACAAGGTAGTGGACAGTTACTCAAATAATAGAAATTTATCTTTTGCTTAAAAGTAATCAAAAGTTGCAAAGTTGGAGCTATCTTTGATTTTGCTTGTTGTTTCAATAGCCCATAGCACATATATGAATAGTCAAATACATGCAACTTTTTGTCTATTTCTTACCAAAATAATTTTTGTGAAAAACTGCATATAAATAGCTAAATCAAGCTATTTTGAATAGCTTAATAAAGCTAAATAGCTATTTCAAGCTATATAGCTAAATTAAGAGATTGTACTAGACCTGCTTATTTCCCAATCCCAACGATAAAACTTTCTTTATATATTCTGCAAATTCTCTCTGCATTTATCATTGAACAAAATTCATATGACTGCAATTATGACCATATTCTTCAGTTTAGAGAGCATGTTATAGAGGATATTTTGGTTAAAGTTTTGGTCTGTTTCATGCAGTGTTTGAAATATTCTTTCATTTTACACAATTGTATACATTAAGATTTATTTTATAGCTAAAGTACAAGAGAACTGCAGCATCTAAGACTACATGTACATCGACTTTGAATAATCTACCCGGTATGTCCTCAAAAAGGCAACTCAAATACAGGTATGAAATTGATGTCACAAAATAAGTTTTTGGACTTACATTTACTCTTATAATTCATATACATATAAAGCATATAAAAAATAGAAATAGAAAAGAATTAAAGGTTCATCAGGTGACAGCTCAATCATGTATGGAATATTATTAGGCCAAATAAAAAAATATGTGTGGTTCCCATTACCTGACCGTCCCTATTTTAGATCCCCGACCCTAAACTTTTTCGGCAATATTCATATTTATTTTCCAGAATTTTCCGCAATTTCCGTCATCCACTTCGGTATTAGTTTTAGTTCCAGCAATGGCGGCCTCCATGCAAAAATCGTTTCAACACGTAGTGCAAGTGTTTGATGGTGTTAAATCTAAAGCAAGCTAGCATGGCCTGGCAGTATACCTTTTTCCAGCGCCATGTTTTTTTGTTTGTTTGTTTTTTGGTTGCCAAAATTAAATAAATATGCCCGAGAGTGGCGAGATTCAGTTAGTTGCTCTGTTTACAGCTGGTTTATAACAAGTGCATGCTGATTAGCCCCTTTATTATTTAATGCACACAAAGGTGTGAAGTCAGGATAGGAAATCACTTCTCGCTTGAAAGCACACAGACAGCTGGCCAGGTAACGTTTTTTGGAGTTAGGGGGAAGATAACATGAGAAAACATTTATTTGATTGCATTGATTACACAAGAATTAACCCAATGTGTAAGATAGATTAACTTGTAAACTATTAAATAATTTATATCAGGATCATTTCTTTTAAACCAAAAGTAGAAAAAAAACAGTTCATGAGGAAAAGTGAAAAAGAAGACTGCTGATTTTACATGAATAAAGTCAACTTGCAAAACACCAATATATATGAGAAATGAGCTTGGAAGTATGAAGTCTTCAATGAGGCAAAAAGGTTTCATGAAAGGATTTAAAATTTTAATAATATTAAATATTTGTAATTCTGACAAATTTGAATGATTCTATGTCATCTTGCATAGGTGATTTATTTTGTTTTAAACATTACTGTACAAAGTGTAGGTGTCACATTCTTTTCCTCTGACAGCTCTTAGCAGAACTCTTATGTCCGTTTTCTAGTTTATAGTTCAGAATTTATTATTAAGTAAAATAAGAACTGTTCTGGATAAAAGTAATTAATTAATTTCATTTATAAACACTGATTTTAAAAAAAGGATGTTCACCTTGGACTTTATTTTTTACAAAAAGAAAAGATTGTGTTTTCATTATTTTTGATTTAAAAATATTTGTTTCATATTCATAACTAGGGTGCCCCCTGCCAATGTTGACTAGTATATTTAATGCCACATAGAAATGCCACTTATTTTCTCCTTCACTCTGTTCATCCACAAATAAAACATTTCTTTTCTGAACCATAGTTGGAAAAGACTGAATTCAAAATAAACAAAACATTTATTAGTTATGAG